TGAAGGCTGCAGTCCTTGACCCTCTGCAATAAGTGCATGAGGTCCTCCTCAGTTTCAGTGAGCAAGGTTGTGTCATCTGCATAACGCAGATTGTTGATAGATCTTCCACCAATCCTAACGCCATGCGTCTCCTCATAGATCCCAGCCTCTCTGATAATCTGCTCTGCATACAAGCTGAAAAGGTATGGAGATAGGACACATCCCTGGCGTATATACCACAACAAACGTTGTTTTTAAACTTCTCAACTCACTGTTTCATGGCCCATCTGAGAATTAATGACTTTCCTAGAAAGACACCACACATGAGAAATACACACAAGATGTCCTCACCCTGAGAAAATCCTCCTCAGCCAAACAAACAGCTCTCGCTCCAGCACCTCTTCTCCATTCATTGTGGACTTGTGTGTTTGCCCACCTCCATTGCTCTGACCTTGGAGTTTGCACAGGATACAAGAAACAAAACCAAATTTTAAATAATCCCTTGTGTTCTCCCCATGCCTCACTTACTATTTCAAGTTACTGTTAGTGTTACATGTCACTATTAGATACTGTGAGCCAATTACGACTCCCAGTGACCCTACAGGACAGAATAGAATACTTAACTATTGGGTCACCAGACTTAACTTACACTCACTGCCACCGAGTCATAAAGCCATGTCACTACCAAGTCTCCAGCTGGTTTTCTAACGTGGTAAATCACACAGGAGGGGACTGCTCATCTTTCTTCTGAGGAGCCTCTGGTGCATTCAAACAACCAGAGAGGTGTGGTATTTGGGTTAGCAATTTAACTCCCTCAGAGAAGGCCACCAAAGTGTCCTGTAATAGTAGTTCCCCAAGCCACCAGTTGCTAACAATGAGCAGTTATATCAATTTAGTGGGTCACAACTAGCATTCTTCCTTAAAAATAAGATGACATACAAAATACCAAAACATTTCACAAAGTCACCATTAGGTTATGGAATTTTGTCATTTATATAAGAGTGCATTAGACCATGATATAGAAATTTGTATCTTCTGGCCTTTCATTAGGGTCATGGCAAATAAAATCTACAGTACAGTGGACTACAGGAATAGTCATGCATTTGGCTGCTAACTACAATGTTGCCATTGGAAACAACTCCTTGGGAGAAAAGACAGTAAAGATTACAGGCTAAAAAAAAACAACACACACACAAAAAAAAAACCAAACCCCAAAACACACTATGGGACAGTTCTACTCTGTTCTATAGGATCACTAAGACTTTAAATTGGCTCCACAGCACAAATACAAGTTGATATAAAGTCTTTTGTTTAGTCTACAAAGCTCTCTAAACTTGGCCCATGTCTAAAGATCTCTTGTATGCCAAGGACCACAAGCAAGATAAGCTTGTCACGCCAAACCTATTTGCTGTTTCTCGTCTTAGTGATTTCAATCACTCAATTTATTCCTTTTGCTTGGAATGTGTTCTCGTTTGTTCAAGATGCCTACCTCTACTTATTTTTCAACATTTAATCTCCTCCACAAAGTCTTTTTTTCTTTCTTCACAAGCTAATCAGGACACACACACACACACACACCCGTGACTCAAGAATGCCTCACCTTACGGACCTTCTGGCATTTCACTGTACTTTTTATATCAAAGCTTGACTATCTTCCTCACTTTAGGACTACAGACCCCTTAAGGGGGAAAGGGCACATTTTATTAGTCCTAATCAGCAGTCTGAGCCCTGTACAGGTCACAGAGGCTCAAAAGTTGGAAAAATGAACAAACATTAAAGCGTCTACCATATAGTCGAAACCGACCCATAGCTGACCCTCCTGTGAGTTAACAAAGGCAGTAAATCACATGGGAAGAGACTGTCCATCTCCCACAGGCAGGTGGCAGATTCAAACCGCAGACCTATAAGTTGGCTGCACAATTCCTTACCACTGAACTACCAGAACGTCCTCTAATTTCTGCCTCTAGGGATGAGAACAGGGTTTCCTTTATAACAAAGCCCATTAATTCTGCAGTGCTGGAGCAAGATCTCCACATTGTTGCTACAAACTCCACCCACCCATCCCAGACAACTGCTCCTAACAGTGTGAGGCTAAAAGAGGTGTCAGCTTCCTGCTCTTCATCAAGGAAGGGACTCAGTTCAGATTGCAATGCTGCAGCCTTCACTTCCATGCCTCCCACAAGTTATCTGGGAAGAGGAGAAGCAAGGTTCAGAGGTTCCTGCAGGCAGGTGAGATCAATCAGAAACTGCACTGGCTAAGTTCATTAGCCAGGAGAACTCACGTTTTATACAACCAGATCCCAGATCTCATTTAAGCACCTCTGGTGGTACAGGAGTTGAAGCCACAGGGACTGAATTTAGTTGCTAACCCAAAAGGTTCAAAGTCATCAACTGCTCCTCTGGAGAAAGAGAAGGCAGTCTGATTCTGGCTTTATAGCCCTGGAAACCTTAGAGAGTAGTTTATTCTGTCCTGCTGCTGTGAACTGGAATTAGACTGTACAGCAGTGGGTTTTGGTTTTTAGCTTTAATTGGAGAGGGGCTGTCTAGACTCTTGTTTTTGGCACTAACTTGACAATATGATCTAAGCAACAACTCAGAAGGCAGCATGAAGTAACTGGTGAAGTTACTGAATTGCCGCTGACTACTGATTAGTATGCTAGCTCTGAAATAGCAACTGACTCACTGCTCTCACTGAGAAGCTACTTTGGGGAGAAGGGGAGGTCAAACCAAATAGGGGAGCACCAAAACTTTGACGCTTTTCACAAACTTCATCTTGTATCTATGAATGCCCTAATTTCTAAGAGTCTGATACAACAACTTTACAAGCTGATACTTCAGCTGTCTTCTCTGCAATTAAAAACAGTTCGTGCAGCATCCAAGATACTTTGACAGACTCAGCCAACTGTCAGTTTCAGCTGTTCTTTTCAGTTCCACCAGAGTTCATAAATCACTATTTCAGGAGCCTTGGATTTTTTTCTTCCCATCTAATCATTTGTTTTCTTAAAACCTTCTTTGCTTAAACTTTGTCCTTAAAATTACACCAATTAAGAGGAGGGAAAAAAGAGACTAACGCTAGCCAAAAACGTATTCATTACATGTGACATTTCTCATTCACAATATTGAATTTCAGATAACCTGTGAAAATAAGGTAATTTAAGACTGCCTGGGTAAAAATTTAAAGCCCATTTCAAGTTCTGTTTCCTTTTGTTTTAAATAAGGTACAAGCAGCTATGCACATTACACAAGCATTTATTATATATAAACATCTACAAAGATTGGAACCGTGCTCAAATGCTTTCACCTCTTCTAGTCTAGTTCTAGAGAAATTTCCTCTCAGCAATTCAGATGGTAAAAGTCTCTACCAATGAAATGTGTCAGAGAGTAAATAAACTCATTTCTAAGTTATTATACCTAAGCATCTAAATGTGTGTTGTGTAAACTGTGGAGGGACTTATTGTTACATTTTAAATCATAGTTTCTTGGACATTTTAACTAAAATGATGGACATTCATGTGGCTTTAAAGCTATGGAAAACAGAATTTTTTTTCCATGTTGCTGCACCATGCTTCAATCTAGAGAATGCCACTGTCAATATGAAAGAAAAACTGTCACTTGATTATTTTACTCCAACATGTTTTAACCTGTTTAAGAGCTGCAGATTCTCATGAGACTCATGTTTACAGAATGGAAACGTTTTTAACCCTTCTCAACTGAGTTCTTTTAGTGGTAACAGTACATAGAGGTTAGGTAATTTGTTGGGCACATTTACTTACTAAAACCTACACCGGAAAAAGAACGAGGTATTTTAATAGCTTAGTACCTAAATCATGAGTTACATACTTTTTCATGATTAATAAGTTAAATTCCATGCAATTAAACCAATTATCACTGTTTTCCATGCAGTCCTATGGGAGGACTCCTACAACCTCTGCTCTAACCTCTGAAAGTTGTTCAAATTAATAAACTTCAAATTCTAACTCCAGTCAAAAGGTAATACTGCCAACAAAATTCTTCCTTCCAAACAAAAGTTTCAAGAAGTATGTGCACATCTTAAATTGTCACAAAGAAATTCAGAAACCATCCTTTTACTATCTGTTCAATTATATATTTCTTTAACCATACACGTGCGCACACAAATGTCTGCGATCGAGAACATTCTAGAAGTCCCTCCTTGATAGACTGCATCAATATGCAAATAAAACGACCATAGCGTTATTATTCCACAATGTATTTCCTGCTTATGTTAGGAAGACCCTTTTACATTTTATCAGGCTACAGTGTGAAAAGAATAATAAGGTTGGAAAACGCACTGACTGGATGTGTATCTGAAAGAATGGGTAGGGCGAACATTGTTAATCATAAACTAAAGACCTGAACTCAGGAGAAGTAAAAAAAACGGGCAAAAGTGAATAGGTGTCTTCCACAATAAAAGCTTTTTCCTATTCAAGTTCTGATTTCCTCCTGAGTGCACTGTCCTCTGGAGATCGCATCAGAAAACTTTCAGATTTTCATTTAAATCTCCCCAGTAAATGAGTTCCAGCTCCGGGATAGTCAAGGGCAAAGCAGAGGGCACAACGTGAGCAACAATTTACAACGGACCATTTGTAAAGACTGTCAGCTAAGCGCTCGTGATAGTCCCTTTGTGCAACTGATTACTCCGAAAGTATGGCGAGAATGCAGTGGTTGGTTCTTCTCCAAGATACCGGCAACCAAAAACTCAAGATAACGTGATTTTGATTACAAACTGATGCAGCAGCTCGTGGAGAACGCGTTTCCTTCTTAAATAGCACTGACAACACTACCTTGGGGTTCTTAATGTGACACTCGCCGTTCCTTAACCACGACCTCCTGCTGTCACTTAAATTAAAAAAAAAAAATAAATTCAGAGGTTAGCACACCTAGCTTTCAGAAGTGTAATCAGCTCAGCAAGAAGGTGGCAAAGCCACTTGAAAACACAGAACACAGACAATTCACACACAGAAACAGATTCGTGGTTGTGTTGAGAAAAAAAAAAATCTTACCCCATTTTGCCCAATGAAAACTTGCTCTGAAGTTTCTGCTTTTATGCTACAGAACGAACTTCAAAGGAATTTCTCTATTTCGCAGTTGCTTTTCTACCCCCGAGGTCCTTTTCCGGAGGTATTTCAAGGATGCTCAAAGTTTTCCTCAAGTAAAAGGGTTGCTTTGTTTTTTTCTTTCTTGTAAATATCAAAACGTTCAACACCGAGGTGGCATTTGCTTGTCAAGAGTTCAAATGCTGCGCGGAGGAGACGGCGGTCAACTCTTTTCCACAAAATGAGTCTACACGCAGGAAAACGCCGGTCAACTCTTTTCCACAAAATGAGTCTACACGCAGGAAAACGCCGAATCCGACTTCACCGAGTCCCAGAGAAAATGAGTTTGCTGGTCTTTTCCGCTCATGTCTTCCCTGCCACTCGGGGAGAGAGCCAGGTACCTCGGCCGCTTCGGTGCTACTAAGGCTACGGGTTCAAATTTCTCCCCTCTAGTCCCTGGGGGTGGAGCGTGCAACCCAACGCGACGTGCACTTTAACGATCCCTACGGGAAAATAAAAATCCTAAAAGCAGTAATGCCGATGCTTCCCTACGCTCACTTTAGGGGGTGGGGGGAATGTATAGAAAAATCCCCTGGAAGTGCAAATCCGGCAGCTCGCGACGTGCACAGCACTCCACATCGGAATCTTGTCTTTTTAAAAATATTGTTTCCCCCCCCCCTCTTAAGACTCAGAGCAGAGACGAGGTGGGGAGGAGGAAGAGAAGACTGAGCAGGATGGACTCATTCTCCAGAGGAGAATAAACGGAGCCATTTCCAGGCTGGCAGCAGGCTGGGGGCGCAGCGCACGCCGCGGAGCAGGGGGAGGGGGCCCGATCCCACCCCCCTCAGCCCCTTCCCGCCCCCCGCCGCCGAGCACAATGGAGCCCGGCTCGCGCCTGGCCCTTCATTCGCCGCCGTCCTCTCTGGCCCCTCTCTGGAGAGCACAGCAGGTCTGAGGTTCGCTCCGGCAGGGAATGAATGAATCAAGAGAGCCGAGCTTCACGCTTCCAACGGCCCCCAGCCCCCAGCTCCGGGGCAGGCTGAGCGGCCACAGCGGAGATGGCTGGAAGGGTCGACGGGCGGTAACGCCGCGTCGGGGCCAGGGGATCGGGGCTACAAGCCGCGGGAGAGCCGCTGCTCCAGCGCCCCCACCCCTGCTCCTCGCCTCTCTAGCTCCGCACCGCCGCCACGCGCCGCCTCACATTCCCTGAGCCCTAGCGCCGCCACCTCACACCTCCATCACCGCCCGCCTCCGCCGGCTTCCAGCTCAGCCCGGCAGAGCCGAGCCAGCCCAAGCGGCCTGAAGCCCCGGCTGCTGCCTCTGCCTCCACCGGCCGGCGGCTCGCAGAGCTGTAGGCGCCGCTTCCCTGGTCAGCGCCGCCGGCGTGAAGCGAGCGCGGCAGCCGAGCGGGCTGCGGGGGGCGGAGGAGGGGGCGGAGAAAACGAGAGGCGCTAGGGTCCCTCCCCCCTGCTCGCGGGAGGGGGCGGGAGGCTGCCGCCGCAGAGCCGCGGCCGGGGGCTGAGGGCTGGGACGCTGATCCGTCTCGTGGGCCCGGCGGGGCCCTGCGGGGAGCGGGAAGGGGCTGCAGCCGCGAGGGTGGAGGGGTGGCTAGTGTTCGGGGGCTGAGCCGGCCCTCGTGGGGAGCTAGGCCAACCAGTCGGCACGTCCGTCAGTCGGTCCTTCCTTCCCCCCTCCCCTAGTGGCCAGTGGCGGGCGGGCCGTGCGCTCTGCTCCTCCGCTGGCTTCTGGCGCCGCTCCCGGCCACCAAAGCCTCCTCCGCTCCCCACACCAGGTGCTCGCGCTGTGTCTCCATCCTCCCCGCAGGAGGACCTTTAAATAGCAACGTCAGCGCGCTTCTCTCCGCACACACGTCACCCGCCGCTCACGTCACCCGGGTGCGGGGGATGATGTCACGCGGCCGGAAGTATTGCTAAATTAGGGAAGGAGCAGGGGAGGAGGACTCTTCGAGCGCCTCTGTGCCCACCTGTTCCAGCTTCTCCTTAAAGGCCAAAACACTGGAGACAGCCCGAGCGGAGCTCTGGGAAGGAAGCGGCGGGAGGAGATTTCCTCGCAAAAAATGTGCCAAATAAAATGAATCATTCATAGCAACAGTGTTGGAGTGTCAAGGAGGTGCTATCCCCACTCCCACTCCTACCCCTGTTGCAGAAGCATCCCCAGGCTTCTCACTTCCCAACTCGCTGGGAAAGGTGGGAGGGAGCAGTTCATCACTAGTGGTAGATATACTTTGGAGACTTGGGAAGTTTTACAGTAATTTTAAAAAAATATATTAAATGACAAGAATAGATTTTGGAACTTTCCCCCTTCATGGTAGAGAAATAAAGAATAAAGAATGAGCGGGGGGGGGGGTTATCCTGTACAAACCCACTTTATAGATAAGCTTATAAACACTATAGGACAAAGTAGAATCCTGTCAGTGTTTACAAGGAAGTAGATTGCTTTCTCTGTTACAGAGCAGCTTAGAAAGCCTGATCTTTGATTTAGCAACTAATCACTTGACCAACTAAGGCTCCTGTAGTACCCTAAGGAATAGTAAGTAAAGGGGAAAGGTCATCAAATAATACATGTGTTTTCATTTGCGACACAGTAATATTTTGGCATAGGACAACGTTTTAGTCTTAGAAAATTTACTCAGATGCCCTTAGATTCTGGCTCACCAAGAGTGTGAATTCCGATTTGTGAGAATTAAAGACTAACAAACCATTTTCTTAACAAGTTAATATTTTCTCTCTTTAGTTTTGACCATATAATAGTAATTACAATATCAGGGACTTCTTATATGCCAAGGATAAGTGTTCATGTATCTATAATCGAATGTAGTATAGAATATATATTACATTATGCACACCCATGTTTATCGCTGCTTTGTTCACATTAGCAAGGAGTTGGAAACAACCTAAGTGCCCATCAACAAACGAATGGATAGAGAAGCTATGGTATATTCACACAATGAAATACTATGCTGCATTGAAAAATAAGGACCTCATGCAAATGTGTGACTGTGGAGGACATTATGCTGACTCACATTATCTCAGTCACAAAAGGACAAATACTGCATGGTGCCACTGTTGTAAAACAGGACTGACATTGGGGTTGGGGGGAGACTGAGAAAGATCGGTTCAATAATATATACTACACTGAAACATGAGGGAGAAAACTGTTTAAAAGGGATATGTGATTAGGTATTTTTGTCATGATGGAAGTCCAGATTGAAGTTTGCATAGTGGAGTAGACCTGGGGGGAAGGATTGTAAAACAATGAAAGAATTTTACTTTTACAAGTGTACTAGGGGGGAGGGTTGGGAGGGAAGAAAAGTGCAACAATGAATGAATAGGGGGAGGAAAGAATATAACATTCAACAACTGAGTGTAATAATATGGATGTATCTTACTAGTTGTTTATAATGTATTCCAAATTATTTTTATTTATTTTAATTTCTTTTTTGTTTGAGTAAAAGTTGAAAAATTCATTTTTCTTTAAATCATTTGAACACATTTTTATAACATTATGACTGATTAATGTAATTAGTTAATTATGTCTGGTCAGCCCCTTACTGTTTATTGCCTTTACCAGATTATTTTTCAACTGTTAATTATTATATAGATTCAACCTATCGTTTTTTGGTGCCATCAAGTCAATTTCAACTCACAGTAACCCTCAAATGATACCCTGCCAAGCTGTGTCATTTTCACAAACATTGCTAACTTGTAAGTAATTGTTCACAGGGTCTCTATGAGTATTGTCGATTCAATGGCACCGAACAGCACTAAGTAGATGCAAATATATAAGGCCTTTTGTTTGATTTATTTAATTTAATAATCATGGCCCAGAAAGAAGACTTGCTACATACTAACAAAGGCTATTATTACTATTTCAGACATACTGTATAAATTCAGTGAGCTTGTATTTCATACAAAAATCAAGACACATCATTTGACAATAAATAAATATTTGAAATCTGAAGTAACCTGGAAAATCTAGGACACAGATTACTGCCACATAAAGTAGTTATTAGAATTATATAGGGAACTCTGGTGGCCTAGTGACAGAGAAGCTGCACTGCAATCCCAAACGCACGAGGCTCAAATCCACCAGCTGCTCTGCTGGAGAAGAAGGATCAATCTCCTCCTGTGCCTGTTGGATCCAATTCGATAGTACACAACAAGAAAGGGAAAAATAAATAAGATTTACAAATCAATGAAACATAAAGAAGAGTACTTAAAACTCTAACATTTAGAGAGAGAGGGGTGTGTGTGTGTGTGTGTGTGTGTGTGTGTGTGTGTGTGTGAGTGTGAGAGAGAGACAGAGAGAGAGAAATATCTAGGGCTGCTACATATATAGTAAATATCACAAGTGGATGACTTAAACAAATTTATTGTCTTATAATTCAGCATTTTAGAAGTCTAAATTCAAGGTTTTAGCTCTAGGTAATGGCTGTCTCTATTGACTCTGGAGGTAAGTCCTTATTTCCTCAACTTCTGCTTTTTAGTTTCTTGGATGTTTGGCTTCTATCTTACCCCATCTTTCTGCTTCTTAACTTGCTTATTTAATCTCCTTTATATCTCAAAAGAGCTCTGGTGGTGTAGTCCTTAGGGCATTGCACTGCTAATTCAAGGCCATACCACTGGCAGTTCATATCCACCAGAAGCTCTGAGTAAGAAAAGTTGTCAGTCTCTTCCTGTGCTATCAACAGCCTTGGAAACCCTCTTGAGGTTAGCTCCCAGTAGAGGGCATGAATGAGATATATCAGAAGAGATTAACTCAAGGCATCCTAATAAAAGTAATACTTTTCCCAAATGAGATTGTAGCCCAATACTTTAAGATTAGAATTTACAACACAGACAGCTGGACAATGACTAAGGATGACAGAAGAAGAAGCAGTGCCTTCAAATTGTGATAATGGAGAAAAGTCTTGAACATAAGTTGTGGTGTTGGAGAAGAGTCTTGAATGTACTATGGACTGCCAAGAAAACAAATAGGTGAGTCTTGGAGAGGGTGAAGCCAAGTTTCTCCTTGGAGGCTAGGATTTTGAAACTCTGTCTCACATACTTTGGGCATGTGGCCAGGAGAGATCAGTCCTTGGAAAAGAACCTCATGCTTGGAAAGGTGGAGGGACAGCACAGGAGAGAAAGACCCCAGATGAGATAGATTGATACAGTGACTGAGGCAATGAGGTTGGTTGTGTTGGAATTAGTGACAATAGCTCAGGACAGGGCAGAGTTTAGAGCTGTTGTATATAGGTTCGCTATGGTTTGCAGGTGACTCGACAGCACATAACAACAACAATTCAATCTGTAACATTCTACCCATTGTTGTTGTATACCATTAAATCAGAACTGACCCATTGCTGACCTTCTGATGGGTTTTCAGCGGCAGTTAATCGCATGGGAGGAGATTGCCCATCCTTCTCCAGTGGAGCAGCTGGTGGCCCTGAACTGAGTGCCTTTGTGATTGCAATGCAGCTTCTTGCTACTAGACCACCAGAGCTCTACCTATTAGCCCCCCCAAAATCATGGAAGTTTTTTCCTCCACATGCAAAATGCACTTATCCCATTAGTTCAAGTAGAAAATCTCAATTATATCTAAATGAAAATAGGCATTCAGGTTTAGGTGTATACTGTCCTAGTACAGATTCCTCTTCACCTGTGAACATGTGAAATTTGGAATTAAAGTTATTTCATTCCAAAGTACAATAGTGGAATGTTGTTGTTGTTGTTATGTGCCATTGAGTCACCTGTTCAAGACTCTTGTCCATCACTACAATCTGAAAGTATCAATTCTTCTGTCATCCTTAGTCATTGTCCAGGTTTCTGATGCATAGAAAGTCATTGAGAAGACCATGGCCTGACTCAGGCACACCTTAGTCTCTAGACTGATATTGTTCCTTTTCAGCACTCTGGAGAGGTCCCTGACAGCAGATTTTTATTTCTTGACTGCTGGTGTTAAGAGTGTTGATTGTGGAGCCGAGCAAGCTGTAATTGTTAACAACCTCAATCTCTTCTCCATCGATCATGGTGCTGCCAGTTTACCCTATGGTGAGAATCTTTATCTTCTTGATGTTGA